TGAGGGCGCTGTAGTGCATCAGGACTCAGTTACCACTACAGCGTCCCAGAAAAACTACATTCTCATACATGCCCCGCTCTCACACCGGAACACCTACACTGACCTGTCATCACATCTGTTTTGTGTTACTGTTGATTATCTGGACTATATATACTACCATTTCACCACAGTTTGTTATCGCGTCGTTTGTCTTCCTTGTCCGAGTTTCCTGTAAGTCTTAGATTCCGAGTTTGTTATTCTGATCCTGCTCTTGTGTTTTGCATTAGTCTAGTTCGTGTGGTATTTGTCTGGTCTGTTTTCTAATTAGGTTTCAAGAGTTCACACTTAGCTGATGATTTACAAAGCTTATTTGGCATGCTGTCCTGGGAGAGAGCCCCGAGCTCAAGGGCTCCTCGAGCCCGAGGCTTCCTCCCGTTGGCAGAGCAAGAAGGGAGCCTGAGCTCGGTGGATCTCAGAACTCCCCTGCTGCTGTAGCTAAGGGAACGTAAGGAATTAAACAAGCTTGATTGTTATGTATGTTGAATGTCTTTGGATGGTGGGAGGAAACCGGAGAACCCGGGGAAAACCCGCGCGGACACGGGAAGGACATACAAACTCCCCACAGAAACACCCACTTGTCCTATGGAACTAGGACCGGCAGTATTCTTGCTGTGTGGTTCGCAGTGCTAACCACTGGACCGCCGTGCCGCCCAATCACAGGTAAAGGAGGAGAATAGGGGAGGAGGGGGGTTTCTTCCAAACGAAGATAAAGTGAACTGAGAACGGAGGCTATTTATGGTGCCTTAGGGCTCACATGATTGGAAGATTAGTGATTAGCAAATACGAGACTGGCCGTGATAAATCATAAGCACGTGATCCTCTCGAAATTAGTTTATGAATAAACTTCACTTAACGTTAGTTGTTTGAGTTTGTTATTCCTGAGCCTCGTCTCTGATTTAGTTTCTGGTTTTGTCGTTTATTTGTTACTTTGTATTCTTATCACCTTGTTGGTTGCACTGTAAATAAATTATCTGCACTTGGATCCGCACCTTTTTGTTTCTTGTTTTGATCACGCTAAATCGTGACAACGCTTCATTTGGGCATCTGATGTGAAAAAAGAAAATAAAAGCCCTTTAAACGTTACACAAAGCAAATATATACACATATATATTATAGAAGACATTCTATATATGTGTGTATATATATATATATATATATATATATATATATATATATATATATATATATATATATATATATAT